CCAGACCGCTGCCCAGACCGCTGCCCAAGAGCCTGATGAAGTAAGTGTTTTATGTGTTTGTATTTCTGCATGTTGTGTACCTTTGCCAGAAAGTTACATTTTTGGTAGCTTTTGTGTGTGTGTGCGTGTGTGTGTGTGTTTGCACATGTGTGTGTGTGTGTGCATGTGCGTTTGTGCACGTGTGCATATGCGTGTGTATGTGTGTGCATGTGTATGGATGTGTGCATTAAATGTATGAATGTGTGTATATATGTGTGTGTGTGCGAGTGTGTGTGTGCATGTGTGAGAAGGCTAGGTGTGTGTGTGTATATGTGTGCATGTGTATGGATGTGTGCATATGTATGAATGTGTGTATATATGTGTGTGTGTGCAGTGGATGTGTGCATATGTATGAATGTGTGTGTGTGTGTGCATGTGTATGCATGGGTATGTGCTTATGTATGAATGTTGTATGTGTGTATGAATGTGTGTGTGTATTTGCCATATAAGGTTTGGGATACTTATGTATAGTAATATCCATCTATTCATTGTTTCCAGCCGAGACGGAGCAAAAGAAAAAGACAAACTCCCCAGCGCTTCGGTAAGTTGCTGATTTACAGATGTACTGTGTGCATGGCTTAAATGTTTCTAAAATTTGGGCTGAGCTGCAGAACAATTGTCCATAGGCGACAATTCTCTGTGAAGTTTTATATTCTGCAAATATATACATGTGTATGATCTACAACATGACAATCTACATGTAAACAGTCATCTTTCATAACAATATCTTTCATTTACTACTACACATATTATTTATTTGCTAAGGTATTGTAGTTACAAACCAGTCACAATCCAAACAGATACTCACAAACGATTAATATACACAACAGCCACCTAGTATCTGCTTACAAAACCTCACCAATCACACAGCTACTAATAAGCTACGGATTATAGAAATAGGGATGTTTCTGAAATATGAATTTATACCCCAATATAAAAACAGCTAAGGTGAAAAAAAAACAAGACTGGCAATGTAAACATACATTGCCATGGCGATGGTGGTTGCTGTTAGGGTTTAAAATTTCTTTGTGGTCTCTGTCCGTACTCAGCGGTAACATTATGAACAAGAGGAGGAATTTTATCACCAGCCATCTTCCTTAGGCCATGATGATGGAATATATTATAGTTTTCGACCATACTGTAAATCGTTCAAAGTAGCTGCAAATTTGGCGTATGATGTGTGTTTTGGGTATGATGCCTGTTTCATCAGTTTTATGTGATGTACTGACGCGTCTCCTTCATGTGGTTTTCTGTCACAGCGGATGAAGACTTTGATGAAGCTCCTGTGCGGCCGCCGCCAGCCCCCCCTGTCACAGTAAGTGTTTTATGTGTTTGTATTTCTGCATGTTGTGTACCTCTGCCAGAACTTGTAGTACGTTTTTGGTAGCCTTTGTAAGTGTGTGTGTGTGTGTGCATGTGTCGAGTGTGTGCGTGTATGTGTGTGTGTGTGTGTGCATGTACTATATGGATGTGTGCATATGTAACAGATACTATGAATGTGTGTGTGTGTGTGCATGGACGTGTGCATATGTATGAATGTGTGTTTGTATAATTATGTGTGTGTGTGTGTGAATGTGTATGTATGTGTGTGTGAATATATTGTGTGAAATTGCCCTAAGGTTCGGGATACTGAGCTATAGTTACTGTAATATCCATCTATTCATTATTTCAGCTCCGCCGCAGTTCAAGAGTAAGCCGCCCCCCGCTCCGTTTTCGTAAGTTGCTGATTTACAGATGTACTGATTTTTATCACACCTGACACTGATTGTGTGCATGGTTCAAATATTTCTTTAAAAAGATTTGGGCTGAGCTGCACAACAACAAGTGTCCCATAGGCGACATCTCCGTGAAGTTTTATATTTTGCAAATATACATGATCTACAACACGACAATCTACATGTAAACAGTCATCTTTCATAATAATACCTTTCATTAACTACTACACATATTATTTATTTGATAAGGTATCGTAGTAGTAGGAGCAAACCAGTACAATCCAAACGGATACTCGCAAACGATTATACACAAAAATCTGCTTACAAAACCTTGCCTATCACACGCTCAGCTACTTAAGCTACGGCCTATTCCACAGGATTCTAGAAATAGGGGTGCTTCTGAATATGAATTTACCTCAATATAAAAACAGCTACGGTGAAAAAAACACATTCTGAATGTGCAAATAAAATTTAAAATTCATCACTGACATAACGGCACACCACATGCCCAATTACTAAGAAATACAGCGAAGACAACAATGACTTTTCACTGCAAACACATAGGAGAACGGCTCACCATTTCGTCTACATGCGACGAAACAGCTGTCTGTAATCACCGACCAAAATCCATATCTGCCTGAAGTTTTATGAGATTGTACTGACGTGTCTTCATTACTCCGTGAAGGAGGTCAGGACCTCCGGACGGAGTGTTGTGATCGGCTGATTTTTCATGTTCGCAGTCAAAACACTGGGTTCTCTTTGTGTAATCGGCACGCAATTTATACGCCGTCTGCGGGCATGCCCGTGTTGATGCACGAATGTGATTTTTGCCGTTGCTGCTTTCGCGGTCAATGTAATATTGCAGACGCACCCCTACAATTACGAGGCGAATTGGAATGGTCCAGAAAAACGCGTTGTTTGGAATAGCAGTGGGGGGGTGGAACTTCATGCAGATACGGGGTGGTTTTGATAAGTGGTTCCAGATGTTTTTGCCCATGGTTAAGAGATGCCAAGTTTTTTGGAAAATGTTCGCAGCCAAAACGCATTCTTCCGTACGTCGCATTTCTGTGTAATTTCGCATGTGGTGTTGCATTATGTCCGGGATGATGCACGTCTTTTTATTTTTACCGTAGCTGTTTTGATATTGAAGTAAATGCATATTTTAGAAACATCCCTACTTTTACAATCCTGTGGAATAGGCCGTAGGTTTAGGCAGTTGTCTGGTAGCAGAGGTTCTCCAAGCAGATATCCCGGGTATCTGACCGGCGGAAGTAACACTCGCGGTGCTAGCCGCGACTGTTGCTGG